CAGATGCCACAGAAGTAGAAAGGGTCAGAGAGAGACCAGGAGAGCAGAATTTGCTTTTCCAGCTTTTTTTAATACATACTCCTTTTCAAAAATCTCAGCTTTATGCATACTCTCTCTAGTTCTCTTCCTTCCTTCCACAAAACTCTCCAAGGCTTCTTGCCTTTTCCCTTCCCTTTCTATCCTATAATGTTTGCAGCTGCCCCTGACTCAGATCCCTTCTAAAGGAAATAAGTATTACATACTTCCAAACATTTTCTCTTTCATAGATTGTTTTGGATAGCAGCTTCCCTTTAGGCTGGTGCCGTTTATGCAGAAGTTGTTTTTATCCATATATTGCTGTGGGTATGAACATTAGGTCTGGGAAGCATAGTTGTTTGTCTTGCAATCTGAGTGCGGCACAATGCAGGGAAATAATTAACAAATCAGTCATCCAGCCAAATGCTAATATTTGCATTAGCCATTGATATAGAAAGAGCAAAACTGCTGATGGGTATACTTTTCAATTTTATTGCAGGCACAGATGATATCCTGAGAGAGAGAAAGTGGATCTCATGCTAGCCCCAAAGTGATTGCAGTTATATTTGAAGTACTGTGAAAAGCTCAGGGTTTCGTCTTTGTAATTCTCATTGAAGTCCGTAAGACTGTTTGCTGATGTCCCAGGCAGGGTTTAGAGAATTAAACCATGGTATCACAAGACTCAAGGTTTTCTGTGCCAGACTTAAGAAAGAAGCACCAGCATTTCTACGTGCTCTGTTTTGCATCTTGCTATGTGCTCACTCACTCCAGAAGAACTCCATTTCAATTAGGTGATAAGTAAAATATGTAAAATGTTTTCTAAGTATTTCTAACCCTAATCTAGTGTGTTTTTTACCTTTCCACGCACTTGACTGTTTTTCATTTTCTAGTGGTTGAGATATTAAGATACAATTATTAAGATGCTCAAAAAAGTGTAAGTGCTCACATGTACCAAAGTGAAAGTAAAAGCTTACTGTAAGAAAAGAAATGTTGATTTTAGCTGTCCTGAGAATTAGAAAAGAGAAGATTGACTGGTGAAGATGTGAAATATTAATAAGCCACATGAAGATGAAAATGAGCTATTATCTGTTAGGTCATGTCACCTCTCTGCAAGTACAGTATTGTGCTTCCCTGAGGACACAGGTTAAACTGATTACAGAACTCTCTTGCAGCCCTTCCTTAGGCAGGCACCTCCTCTTAATGCAGTTGAGTCCTAATGAATCTTTGTTGTGAGTGCAAACATAGCAGGATTGAAGTCAAGTGCTCTTCAATTAAAGATGTATTTAGGTAGGTGGGAACAAGTAGAAATTTTTATATCCATCTTGTTTTTGAACTTCATTGAGAAAGATAACCAGTACTGAGGGAGAGGAGAGGTGTATCTGTGGAAAGGAGGAAAATTTAAAAAATACCAGAATTATGTATTGGGTCATTGTTAAAACTATTTTGAGTTTTCATTTTGAAATGAGGTTTTTGTTTCTTTTTGTCAATTTATAACTTTGAAAATATAGAACAAAGTATCTAAAAGTCAATCAAATTAATTGCTTCAGCAAAACAATCCTGATGGAATGTTTCAACATCAAATCTAAAATTATCACAGTTGTTTGTGAAGTTTGGACTTTCATCCCTCCTCATAGCCCTACTAAGCAAGTACACTCCCTGAGTATTTGCAATAAAATAATTTTGCAATCAGTAGATTAAAATATAAACCTGGACACACTCATTTGCAACAGCACCATCATCACTTGAAAAGCAAACTTGCATTGCTGCAGGGTTTGATTCATCTGGCAAAAGAAGGAGGAAAAAAAAAAAAAAAAAGTCCTGAACTTGCAGATGTTTTCTCCTGAGGAGTAATGGCTCTTATGGAAATAGTCTATTTAGTCTGTAAGTGTATACACTAATTCCACAAATTAAGTTCACCTCTTCTGCCCTTTTCTCTGGTGCAAGCCTCTGCTAAATCTAGCAAATCTCATCATTCTGTTTTAAATATCAAAGCTATAAACATCCAGGGCAGAGTTATGTAAGAACTTCATTGTTTTAAAGTAACATCTTGAAACCTTGAAGTCAATGTGAAATAAAAATTTTGGTTGAATAGCGCTGTGAATGACAGATGTAGTTTATCAGTAGTGTGGAAGAAATACAGCTTTTTAACATCATCTTCTGTGGTCAGGTAATGAGTGAGGAAAACAGACATAGAATAAACAACAGAAGTGACAGAGTAGTCTGGTAAATAAATTCCTTTGCTGCAATACAAATATTTTCCAGTTATGCATCAAACATGCAGTATGTGGTTGTTTGCTGTACCTGACAAATGATGTTTACAGTGCTGAGCAACTTTGGCACTAAAATTCAAGATCAGTGGGCAGAGCAGAGGGAACAGTTAGTGTCCGCTCTGCCCAGCTGTGGTCTTGAATAGGCCCAGATCCTCCCATGTAACTTGACAGGAATAACTGGGTGTACCCAGAAATGACACCAAGAGAAGGAGGATCACAGTCTCCTCCTAAATCTTTGTCTGTTCATAAAGTGTCACAGTCAGTTTTCAGCAACTCTGTGTTCTGGGCTGCAGCTGATTTTTTTTTTATTTTCTTGCTGTCTTTCATTATACATGTGCATGTCTCATGAATATGATTTATTGTTTCTCTTTTTAAGCTAAAATGGTAGAAAAAAGAGTACAGCACTCACTTCCGAGGGAAAAAAATCAGTTAGTAACTCTCCTGAGGGAAGTTTGTTCTAGTGATTAGCTCTTCTTCTAAGAACATGAAGGTATTTATTTCTTAGATAATTATGTCTTAGGTAGTATATTGTGATATATTCCAACTGTGACTATCAACAACGTTAGTGCCTTTTACAATTTTCTAGCCTCTTGTTTCAGGAATACATTATATCAGTGAATTTCGCAGGTTAATTACATATTGTTTAACAAAATTCCAGTTTTCATTATCTCCTCAAACTGTGTTCATTTTCATAGTACCTTGTTGTGAGGTAGACATCTATTACGCTGTCTTTGTTTTCATCTCTCAAAGTAGCATAATTTCCTTATCTTCTATATGAAAATCTTCCAGTTCCTGTAAGGATTACTCCTTTTTCCTAGGTTTTATTGTTTGTTTACTCTTGCTTATAGAAATATTTAAAGTATGGCAACTAAAGCTAAATACACAGCTCAGTGTGAAGTTAGGTAATGCAGAGATTGCTACTATGGCTGAGCCCAGTTTTTGTCTAGCTCAGCTTTCTGTCTCTGATAGATGCCACTGGTAGGTATTTCAGAGGGAAGTGCAGCACAGCCCTTGGTAAGGAAATAATGAACCTAACACAGATGATCTTCCACTCTCAGTCTTTTAAGTTGCGCCATGAAAAATCAGAAGCTGTACGGTTACTTATTTTTATCCAATCTAAAGTGGCTGTTGGGGTTTTTATTTTAAGTATAAATATCTAATCCTTTCTGATATCCTACTATTCTCATAGTCTCAAGGATGTCTTGTAACAATGAGTTTCACCTCAGGTTAATCAAGTACTCCAGGAAAAAGTATTTGCCTTTATCAATTTTATATGTGTTGTCTTTTCAGTTTCACTTAATGTCAGGGAACATAGCTTTATTTCCCTTTTTCTACCATTCATTATTTTCTAAGCCTCTGTGATGTCTTCCTTTATTCATCTCCTCTCTAAAGCAAACAATTCTGAATGTCTCCAGACACTTCTGCTTGATTTTTATGGTTTTAAGTATTTTTGTTTCATTTTTGTACCTGTCCTAATTTTGAAGTGTACTTTTTAAAGATGAGAATTCCAGGCATAATCCTAATCTGTAGGTTAGCAATAGGATGTTACTTGTATAATTCTGATTCTTTTGACTTTTTTTGCATTTTAAATTTTATTTTCTCTGGTGATCCCATGTGTACTGGAAAGATTTCAGGGAGATGTTCAGTGCTATACAGATTCTCACAACACCTCCCACAAATACATCTTCCCTTACATGAGCATCCTAGAGTGCTTCAGTTAGCATTTGTCACTGTGCTTGCTTTGTTATGTTCCAATGAAAGGGCAAACTGTGTGTTTTGATAGTGTTTTAGTGGGGTTTATTTTTGTTTTGTAAATGATCATGTATGTATATTTGTCAAACACAGGTGAAAGGTAGGCGTTTGGAGTGGAATGTGGTTAATTTAGTAGTGATCTGCTCCTTTTGAAACTAAACTGTCTGAAATGGAGCACATGTTTCTTACTGCAGAGAAGCTTAAATTATGGCAGCGGCTATACTATTTAAGCTATTAAATAATAATCTTTTGAGAAGCTGATCTTGAGATACCTCAGTACCAAAGTTTAGTCTCTGCATTTTAAGACACTTCTAAGTCTCTTTTTCCAGACTGCTGCCCAAACCTGAATTTTTCTAATTGTGGCTGATTGTAATTTATGAAAATGCAGTTTGTGGCAAGGAAAATGGATGATCTCCCAAGTCAGAGGCTGCTTCCATAACTGATGACTTTTCAACATTCAGAGAAACTATATCAAACATTTTCTCATATTTAAGACCTTTGTAAATGAGGATGTGAAAGAGCATGATGATCACTAGAAAAAGTTTAGGCTATGCTTAGCTTTCACTCCTGATGAAGCAACATTTTTGCATGAAATTAGAGCTGAAAAATAGGAGTCCAGATTGCTAATCTGTTTTTCTTTTTTTTCTTTTTTTGGGTCCCCAGATCTAAGCGTCCAATGCCAGTTTCAACCACAGCACCCAGAATTGACTCTCCTAGGGCTGTAATTCCCCACCAGAAGGTATGTGACACATTTCTCCTCAGCCAAAGTTAATACCATTTGTATCTACTGTGGTGAAGGTAAATACCTACTACAAGGAATAGCTTTTGCCCATCTCAAATAAGTAAACATTGAATGAATGCACAGGCAGCAAAACTGCCACAATGCAATGTATTAGTGATCTGTATTTTGCTAATTTCTCATTAGCAGAACCAAAGCATCCAGCTATCCTCTGATGTGATGGTCTAACCCTTCCTGAGCAGCTTGTTTTCATCTAGACTGCAAGAGGCTACCAAAGCTTCTTAAAATATACATTTACTTTGGTAGATTCTTGGGCGAAAAACCATTAGATTGTGCCTCAGTGTATCCAAATTCTGACTAGAACTGAAAAGACATTGATTTGGAAAGAGGACATTAGGGCATTTGAAAGCTTGCATCACATTGCATTCTTGTCACATTATTCAAGACATGAGAATAAAAAATAAAGATAAGTCAATTTAATGAATAACAGCAAGTGGCAGAGGAAATGGATGGCTTGGTTTCTGTTGTCAAAGCTTGTCATCTTCCATAAAATAAATATTCATATTAGAATAAACAGTATTCACTGGCTGTACCTCGCAACTCATCATCTTTATCTTTGGAGGCACTGAGGAACAAGGAAGCCTGAAAGACGGTATATATCCCTAGGCTCAAGCACTGGGTAGGACATTTCTATTGCTGATGCATTTAATTAGACAAATGTAGAGGCGGTAAGATCTCCATTGCTGCAACTTTACCCCTTCTGTGAGTGCCAGTTTCATCCCTAGCATGTAATATAAATAAGAAACACTGAAGATCAAAATACATGGAGAATTAAGGGATATTCTACTGGTTTTGGCAGTTCTGATTTCCATAGATCAATTTTAAGTAATTTTTATTAACACCATGCTTTCCAAATTCAGAGCTCAGAAGGTAGCGTCATCCCTGTAACTGGTGCAAATATGTTCAAACTAACAGAAGCGAATGCACTTGGGGAGAATAATTTGATTCCATTTTATTTTGTCAAATTTTAAATGAATCTGTCTGGCCATTTATTAGTTAAGAAAGAAATGTTATTTCACCCCAGATCTTGGAAACATTTTGGCAAGGGAAGATGATATTAAGAATTTATCTTGCTCAGAGTTGTTTCTGCTTATATAATTATTTTATAAATGTTACCTTGGGGAAAGTTATTGTACGAGTCACCAAACAGTACTGTGAAGTTCCCAGAAAAGAACAATGGATCATTCTTTTAGTTAGACTGATGTTCAGCTGCACCAACAAAGTAATAGGGACAGGAAGGGGAGAGGGAGAAAGTAATTATTTTCCCTCAAGAACTACACAGAATGATGATAGTTTTCAAGGCAGCAAGCTGACTTGTCTCTTTAGAGTTATTCACCAATGCAAGACTGACAGCTATCTTTTGGGTTCCTGAATAGCACCTGTGCAGATATGACAAATTTGCCTACTTCCACTACAGGCACATAAAAGCTTTTACACATCAGATTCTCATGACTCTGTATTAGGTGCGTTTCTTCCCTGGCAAGTGTCAATTTTAGAATTGCTACCATAGGTATTCAAAGCTGTTCAGCACACAAAACATTTTTCTCCCTTAGCTATCTACCGTATAGAAAAGTTAGCTCGATGCACTGTAGGGTTTTTTTTAAAGGTCCTAAAAGTGCCTTTGGCATGGAAGCTATAAAGTTACTTTACATTTCCTATTTTAACCCTTCAGAGAGAGATGAGAATCAAAGGACTCAACCCTTTTTCAGGAGCATGTTGTCTCACACTTGAGCATTCTGTGCATCGGTGCTTAGGAAATGTTTATAGGAGCTGTTGGAAGCAGGTGATTCTGAATGGGCTACAGGTAGTACTTGCAGCTGGAAAAGAGATTTCCTGCAACCCTTCTGGAGGAAAAGGATGGCATCTAGGAGAAGGTATGGTGGGAAACAGGATATCTAGCAGTATTCAGAAGGGTCTTCTTAGGTGTAGGGTCATTGGCCCAAGGGAAGAGGTAGAGAAGTAGAGTGCTACAGTGGGAGGCCTTTTGCAGGTCAAGAGACGTGACATTTGTGTCACTAGTAGACAACAGTAATTTTTAACAGAAGAAAAATTCTTCTCTGAGGGTAGTTGGAAGGAAATGAAGGCATTAAACCATTGGAGAAGTCTCAAAATCCAGAATAAAAAGTCTTTACTGATACAAACAGTGGTATGGGGATGTACAATAAGGTGTGTTACAGTAAATATATTTTAAATATCAAGGTTTCTTTGCTTGTCCCTTTACTATTTCTAGTAACAGTATCACTGTAAAAATGAAGAATTCCATGACATATAGGCAGAAGCTGTCACCTCTACATCACTGCTTGACAGTGTTTAGACTCTGTTAGTTCACATGAAATGAATTTGATTGCATTTCAAAAAACAGCAAAAACTACATTACAAGACAGTCACGACAGTGTTGTCCTCAAACACCGAAAGAAGTTTTTCTCTCCTTTCTCTGAGTCAAGGTTAAGGCATGGCAATGTTAGCTAAAAAAATCTGCATGTGCAAGTTCAGTGTCTAGTTGAAACCATAAATTTTCTTGTACATTATTGCTGATCTGATTGCAGCTTCCACTAATTTTCAAGCATGTATTTCTTCTTTGACTGCTATGGTCATGGTTTGTTGTGTTTTAGAAAAATAAACATACAGTCTTTTACAAAGATGTAAGGAAGGTATAAAACCCCCAGAGCTCTTCACCATGCTATAAATTTTTCTACATTCCACAGGTAACATTCATTCTCTCCTTACTTTCTTGAGCTGATGAATGTTATGGATGATACAGGTTCTGCAACTATTAGGATGGCTATGAATAAGTAGGGCTATTACTGGAAATAAAAATTTGCCTGATTTGCAGTTTCACTATTTCCTTATCTGACATTTATTTCAAACTTGAAACAGTTTTCATTTTGTTTAGTCAAATCTTTGTGATTTAGTCAAAAGATTTAGAAAGGGGATAAGTAATGAAAACATTCAAATAACAAGCAGAGTAGGCAAGTGTCCAAGCACTGAAACTAAGCCATCATCAGTCAGTGAGTTCCTGCAGCTTTTCAGGGGGGCACATCACAGGTGAGGAGTCAGCTCCATGCAGTTCCAAGTGTTCAAGCTGAAGCTTTAAGGCTAAGCATAGCTTTAACATTTGTCCCCTTGCATAAAGGTATTAAGACAGCCTCTTTAATTTTAGTACTATGACAATGTGTTGTCCCGTTTATGAAACAGCACGGAACACGCTTATTTCAGAGTCCCCATGAGGATCTTGTAATGCTTATGATTTGTTTCTTGTCAAATTTGGGAACCTGTGTGGCTAAGAGAAAATAGATGAAGAGATGATTGACTATTTAAGTAAAACACAGGATAGAAGAGCTGGCTGAGCCAAAAGCTATTTGTTGGATGTCTTTGAGCAGTCATTTAATGCCACGGTGCTTCCATCTCCTTCTTTCTATAAAAAGTTTAAAGCAGCAACTGCTTGTTGAGGATGTTGGGAGGTCAAATTAATTGGTATAGTATTAAAATTGTTCTCCCAGAAGTGCAAAAGGTGAATAAAGACTGTACAGTCATAGCAATAGATAAATAGAACATGGGCTGTCAAAGGAAGAGGACTTGAAAAACTTATATTGTATCTTCCAATATAAATTTGTTTCTCACTTCACTGATACACAGGAAGGAACATTGGCCTTTCACAGAAATTGAACATTTATAAAGAAATTATTAATAGTATTTCAGAATGGAAATTGAGCTGATTCATAGCTTCCTTCTATTCCCAAATGTTTGAGACTCCTCTACATTTATCAGTTTTAAGCTCATTCACTGACATTGCACTGGGAAATTAAAACGCAGGTTTCCCCTCCTAGTCAGGGGTTGCTGCATGATCACAGCATCTTTCTTGAGGGAACAAGCCCGATGTTGCTCAGTGTCAGAGCCTCCTCTTCTGGTCGGCTGGAGGGTAGCATCAGACTGGCATAGTTTGAAATGCTAGCTTGCTTTTCCAGACACAGAGGCTGTAAGACAGAATGGGAAACAGGGGAACGTTTGTTACTGTTGGCTGTGTTTCATGTGATGTAATGCTAAAAGCCATGCTGTTGCTCAGTATTGGAAATCTGACCTTCACATTTCAGAAATGGCTTCAGAAATGCTGCATTGATCTGGTTTTGCCACTGAAATGGAGGGAAAAAAAATATCTTACCAGGAATAAACTGAATGAGAGATTCTTTGTCAATCGCAAAAGGAAAGAGCTAAATATGCTGATTGTTGGGCAGTAATACTTTAGAAGAAGTTATACAGCTGCTCTCTTAGGCACTTCCTGTTTCATCCCTTTCCCCCCAAATGCGGGGAAAACAACTACCTTAAAACTACAATGAATATTAACTCAAAATGGAGAATGCTAATGTGGCACTGCTGGGTTCCTAGGAATTCTAGTGTTGAGTTACAGTGTGCAGGTATTCCAGCTAGAAATTGTGGCATGAAACCAAAACCCCATTCATGTCATAAAGGTGAGCAAAATCATCAAGCATCATTTTTTATGGCGGTCCTATAATTTTCCCTTTGCCTGCTGTTAGTGTCCAGTAACACCAAAACTATGAAAATGCATTAGAATTAAGGAAATAACTGGCATTTTTCTCATTAGCAGTTGAAACTAATACTTTATAATCAGATCTCCTTGCATGACCTTTTATTACAGGGTTTAGAAAGGAAACCCACAATTAACTTAGAGAAAAGCTACAGAGTTTTCAGGGGAGCAAACAATTTAACTCTGGCATATCATTTTTTTTTTCTCTAGTGGCCCTGTATTTTTTTAATATTTGTTCTGTGCCTCTCTGCTAGCATATAAAACTCATTTGCATAAGTGGTGACAATTTATGAACATGGCCTTGTGCCTTTTTTACAACATATTTTTAGAGAGAATCCCTTTTTTCTGTTTGTTTAGTGATACTTGGAAGCTTGCAGTAGGCCACTTAAAGGTTGGTTGTTTTCTCTGTCAGGGTATAATGACCAAAGTATGTAATTCAAGTGTATTTATTTAAATAGGCATAACCTGAAAAACACTTTTAGGATTATTTATTTCTACAGCCTCAGGCAGCTATTAATGCCAGCTAAAATCTCTTCTTGTTTATTACAAAGAAAAAAGTTCTCAGTTCATTTTATCTGCCTTAAATCTTTTACTCAAAACCTCTTATATGTATTTAATGTTATGATTTATTACATCCTTAGACCTTTAGGGGTTTTTTGCAATTAATTTTAATTAACCAGGCCATATTATCTTGATTTTTCAATTGTAATCTCCCTAAACTTAAATATGCAATACAGACAAATCCAACCTTAGTATCAAAATCAGTAAATTACATTAATGATAATCAATATTAGCAAAAGTAGAAAGTCAGAGGCCAAATTCTTTTCAGGCGTGTAAGGTGTTAAAGATGGCAACTGAAGCAGTGCCAGCCCAAATGAGGGCTCTGCAGGCCACCACTTGCTGCTGTACTGGCTTTCATTGAGGCCACATTGTGGGCTCCCTCCCTTCTTCAGGATAATGTTCCCTGCCTGCCCCTGTGCCCCAGAGCTGGACTGCAGCATGCTGCCAGCATTACTGGTGGGCTTCTTAACTGTGAGCGTCACAGCATCTGGATACCAGTTATGACTGCAGCATATCTAGGTCCAGAGGGAGAGGTTGAAGCGATCCTTCACCTGTAGCAAAAGCAATGTAGCCCAAGTTAGGCTGGAGCCACGAGCTTCTGAAATAAACTAAAAATTGGTATTATGGCTCTAGAGAAATCTGTAAATTGCCAAGCATTCAAATAGTTTGTTGCGTACATCAGCTATAGATTTTTTTTTTTTTTTAATCCAAAGCACATAATTACGGACAAACAAAAGTGAAGAATAAAACAGCTTTTGAAACTATATAATTCATTATTTTAAAACATGCTGATGAGTTCCAGCACTCAGGATGCTAGGTTCCAAAGGCAAACATTAAAGTGTTGTTAAAAATAATCAATATTAGAATCTTGCTATTCATGTTGCAGTCACTGAGCCTTTAGAAATTAAAGAATAGGAAAACTGAGAGTAAAGATATAAAATGCCCTGTTGAAAGTGAAGTTTATATTCCTCTGATAAAATGGTCCATACTGCAGGTGGGCAAGCCTCCAAAAAGTCTAGAGCTGTGGTCACTACATGCTGCCAGTAGCTGGAAGGAAATGAGGCAATTTAACCCTAAAGATGCTCTGTGCTTCCCGTGAAGCGCTGAGTTCCCTCCAGTCCTAGGGACTTAGATGGTGTTGGACCAGAATGAGCTTGAAGCAGTGACAGAGTGTTTTAGGTAACAGGACCACAGATGTTTTACATGAAACTTCCCAGAACTCTTGCAACAACTTATTTTCTGCATTGTATTGCTGAAAAAAACCCCAGTATTTTTCTCTTTAGATATTACCTTTTATTTTGGTTTCATTAAGCTGCATTGAGCTGCAAATCTTTTACAAAACTGAGGCATAGTGCTGCATTTTTCCAGGATGAGGTTTTGGTAGAATGTTTCTAATTTGAGCACCAGCACAGGCTTCTATGGGTATAGCTATTGTAGGAGAGATCCCTGTGACTTCAACTAAGACAATACATCCTAACACGTCCTAGTTAGGAATATTATCTGGGACATGACTGTAGGATCATACACTCATCATCTACATACTCATGCACACATATATTCCAGTGGAAATTATGCAAAAAGGATCAGAATAGAAGCATCCTATCTGTTGAACAGTATCTGTTCTCAAGTCCTGTTTGTCTATCTGCTAACCATGCTGCATGGCCTAATTAGCATGAACAAGAGCCTAGTGAAGCAATGCAATGTGTGGGCTCCCATAACTTAAAGTGTACTCATGGCAAAGAGAATGGTGTGGTTTAGAATCACTATGTTTTTATAATAATAATGACATTGACTTTATGTTTGTATATTATCTCAAATGATTCTGACCTCAGAGACATTCTATAAAGATTTCTTAATTATCCTAGAAATTAATGGACAGTGTTGTCTTTATATAAAATTACTGCTATGAGGTTGACTAGTAGCAAATGCTCTTTTAATGTTAAGCTTTATTTGTTGATTTTAACTAAATCCAGTAAAAAAATGCCTGAGTATGTTTTGCTTCCCTTATTTTGAAACAGTGCTTTTCTTTGTTGAAAATCTTCCCTGAAAGGTTGGATGTTTTGGTCGCAATCTATTTATTGCAAGTCTATCAGTATGTTTAGAAAGCGGATATGTTATTTTTGCATGTGTTCTATGATTGCTCTTTTCTTTTTTTTTTTTTTCTTTTCTTGGCCTGCATGTTTGCTACTACAGGATCCTGCTTGGGAAATCAATGGCAACAGAACAACCTTCAGTCCTCTAGCTAACACGGCGACTGGGCCTATGGGTAGTATTTTAGCAACCAATGGAACATTTTCAGGCTACCTCAACAAGCAAGAGATCAGCTTTTCAAATAGCTCTTCCTACTTAAAGACTACCACAGTTAGATCTTCCATGTCCTCTCAGTCTGTGACTCCTGACATTTCACCTGCAAAGAGTAATCTAGGTTCAAAACTAAGCCCTGGGTTGACTGATGGCAATAGTCCTTTGCAGCAGCTGAGCCCTGCAAGGCAGTATAACAACCCTATTGGCCTTTACTCAGCAGAGACTCTAAGGGAAATGGCTGAGATGCATAAGTTAAGTCTCAATCGAAGGGCTTCGGAAGGTGGACTTCCTAGAGGGTAGGTAACATGGTAAAATATTTAATATTTCAATAAGTAATGAATTTGCTGAAAAATGAATGTAATAGTTCCTGCCCTATTGTGCATTTGTCCAGTAATCGTGATTAAGGTGTGGAACAATCATTACATTTTCCAGTGTGCCCCAAAACTTATACACAACACCATTACAGAATAACTCTTGGTCTTTGGTATCTGAATGGCAATATGGATTGGCAATAGTCACCAGAGCATGAGGAGGAACATTACGACTGAAGTAACTGTGATCGTCCCAGGGTTCTGGCATTTAGCCGTTGAACTAATGCATCTAGGCTCATAGAACTAAGTAGCACTGTTGGCCATTATAGAAGCTGCTATAAAACAGAACTCATCTTTGGTACTTTCCTAAAAGAGAAACTGTTTTGACCAGCAAATCTGACATGCTAGTTTGCTGGAGTGTCCCAGTATAATTCCTGCCTTAATGTATTGGCTTTCCTATGCAAAATGAGTCAAAATTGCAGTATTTTGAACCCTCTGGTTTAAACATTGTCTGTCTCGCATCTGTTGGTTTTGCTTTTAACTTGATGTAACAAAGAATGATCTATAGATGCTACCTAGATAGTTTGATCCCATGCTGTCAAGTTTTTCTGTGTTGCTGTATTGCAGGTCAACTGTTTTCTTAGTAGGCTTGTGAAGTGAGGAGATTGGACTACAATACATAAGAAAAATCACTGAGAAATGGATTTTTCAAATTTTTCTGTCTTCATGTATTAATTTGCAAACAAATCTCCAGGTTGTTTGTTTGTGTTTATTTCAATTTAAGATAAATTTCTTCTTATGTATATGGGAGAAAGTGTACTTTTGGCACTAGGGACTTGACTGTGTGAGGAAAACCAGAAAATTCAGACAATCCACTCGAGGTCTGATAGCAGATGCATATTTTCAAGTACTTTATATCCCATTGCAGAAGCTCTTTGCAAGAGTAAAACCAAGGGGTTTTAAGTTGTGGCAGATATTTTATCCTTATAAAAGAGCATATGCACATGTTCTAGATGATTCAGGCAGTTTAGATGATACATTGTAACTGTCTTGAGCACTCGGTATTAACAATCCTAATTAATTTATCTGAAAAAATCCTATCTTCCATTCTCATACTGGGTAATTGACAAAGGCAATTATTGCTTAAAAGAAAATAATTTCAGGTAGTAAGCAAGATCAGCAAAATAAACCTCAGAATGCTTCTCTCAATTTACAGTTTTCTTGAGGAAAACTAATCCTTGTCTTATTTCAATATGCAGTTTCCTGGCAGTATATCTCACTATCTCACTCCCACTATCTTCACAACCCTCCTTATCATCTGCAAGGGTGAGGGTGAAGGGGCCATATTTGGGTGGCTCAGCCTTCTGACTATTTCTTTGTTATCAAAATGACAACACAGCAGCATCCATCACTCACCTGATGTGAAGCATGCTGTTGATTCCAGAGGGCATTGCAATAGGACTGCATAATAACGACAGTGATTGTTGGGGTGCAGAAAAGGTGTACCTGCAGAAAACACTGCACTCTTTTCACTCTGATGCTTTTCGATATTTTATGTCTCCTTTATATGTACACGTTAGTGCACGCCTGTGGCAGTGCACTGAATTACCAAGCAAGGTTCTACCTTAGAACAACCATCTGCTTGGTCACGTACCATGGGATGAAT